ACGCCGCCGGCACAGCCCCCGCCCGTGATAGGATGGTCAGCGCGGCGGCGGGCATTCAAAAAGGCATGCCAGCCCAGACCAGAGGGAACCGAGCCCGGGAGAGAAGCCTGAGCCCGAGCAGAAGGTCCAAGGCCTGGAGAAAGCAGCCAGCCACCGCCAGGAACCATTGTGTCTCCACCAGCAATCCTGTCCACAAAGGGGAAGGTGAGCTCCGTGGTAGAGGGGCTTTCGGAGGAAGGGAAGTAGCCCAGGGCAGAACCCGGTGTGGTTGGCGGGTCGGTGCGTTTCGGCGGCACGCCCCACTGACCAGACCAGGATCCTTCACGGATCCGAGTCCTTAGGGCCCTAGGCTGGGGCCCATGAGCGAGGGCGGGTCCGGGCCCCCCCTTTTCCCTTTCACGGTACCCCTTGCCGCTGTAACGAGGATGTCGCGGCGGCACTATAAGCGGGGACTAGAAGGTCGAGGCTGATTCAGGGGAGGGCGATGGTGATGCCGGTGATGAACACCCGAGACAGACTGTAGGCGGTCCAGCGATGGACTGAGTGAAGACAGTCGATTGGGGCACTGAGGCACGGTGAGGGGTGGCGGTCACGGGAGCACCTCCTGACACTTACATACAGTTCTTCTTCCAGATTGGGAAGTTTAGTCAGGGTATGGCTAAATACAAGATGGAACAGATTGTTTAGCATAAGTAATTCCATATTTCAAGGGACTATTCAAGGTGACAGCTCATGAACCAGGATGTACCAACTCAAAGCAGCACCAGACCCTGCCAGAACAAAAGATGCAAAACCTGCATGCATATTTCTACTTATTAAAATGACTAATACCCCCACAACACACTTTTCAACATCCCTGGGTCCTACACATGTCCATCCCAATGCATGGTATACTTTGTCCACTAAGCTAAATGCTCCAATTGCAACTATGTGGCTAAAACAGACCATCACTACACTCTCAAATGAAGTCACACAGGAAAAAATTGTTCTCCTTGGTCTCTGAGGATAGGACAAGTAGTGATGGACTTGAACTGTAGCAAGGGAGGTTTAGGTTGGACATTAGTCCCCTGCACCCGTGTCCTCTCATGATTCTCTCCCCCCCACCAAGGGAAGCCGGCGTGTGCCTCCCGCAGTGCAGGCAAACCCCTGCGGGCACCTGTCCCGGGGACAAACCCCCCTCCCACGGCACAGCCAAACCCCAGAGACAACCCCCGCTTCCGATTCACCCCTCCTGTGGTGCAGAGAAGCCGCCACACTCCTCCTCCGGGGCCAATGCCCCCTCCTGCAGCGCACTTGGCACGCCAAAGAGCTGTGGGAGGGGAGCAGCCAGTGCACTTCCAGAACTTCCGGAAGTGGTGCGAAGCTGCAGGTAGGACTTCTGTCCACCCTGCGGGAAGCCAGCACTACGCTGGAGGTAGGTAGTGGGCCTTCTCTGGGGTGGAGAGGCCCGAACGCCTCATGATTGACTGGTTAAGGCCTTGCAATCGACTGGTCGATCACAATCGACCAGTTGGTGACCACAGATGTAGATCATTCAGTCTTGCAATGATGTCCCAAGGTCAAAACGGATCTCAGAACCTCAACAGGTTTTTAAGTAGTAGAACTCCCTTCCAAATTTGTAGGTAAGCAGGAAGAACCCCACTCTAGCTGTGTGACTTGCTGGAAACCCCTTTTGATGGAACATCAGGGTTCCCCCAATCCTGCACCTCCGTAGCAGCCAGAACAGACTCCACCAGCCAGTAGAATAGAGAGGGTTTATTGCTTCTCCAGGATACAGCACAGCATAGACGTGATGTGGTTACAGGAGTCAGGGACAGGGTGCCTCAGACCCCTTGGGTTAGGGGACCCATCGCCCCCTCAACTCTGTCTGTTCCCTTCATGTTTTCCAGCCAGAAACTGCCTTGCTCCCAGACTCTGCCCCCAGCCAGGTGGCCATCTCCGCCTCCCTTCCTTTGTCTCTCCCTCTGGAAAGAGACTTGTTATCTGCTCAAGCTGGGACTAGAGGTCTGGGTCAATACACATGTGGGTGAGTCAGTGGGAATCACACATTACAGCAAAGGGGAACTCCGGGTTACAGAGCAGACAGCACCCCCAATACATCACATCCCTTGAATGAAGATTTGGAGCTAGAGTCTCA